TGACCATGGGCACTCTGGGAAGAGCACAGAGAGGGTGTCTCTGTAGTGAGAACAGTCCACACCTGTGTGAGGTAACACTATTTGTCCTCTTGGTCAAAGGGGATGATGGCAGGAAAAAAAAACACTATTGTTGCACAGAAGCATTTACAGGCAGTTGCAGAGTCTCCCATTCTCACCAGCCTTTTCTTACACACAGATCTAAACAAACCTGCACTTATTAGATGCCCACTTGACTCTTTTGCCCTGGGCTTTTGGCTATGACTCATTCTTTACATTTAAAGAGAATCAAATCACATATGTAGGTAAGGTGAGTTGTGGATGTCCTGACAGAAGGATTTGGCCTTCCATGTCTCACCTCGGGTTATTTCTGTTCCTTTATTTTTTTCCCCTCCAAGCATGTTATTACTGTCCATGAGTCATTTCATTAATCCAGGGGGAAGGCTAGAAAACAAGTGAATAAACACCCTGCTTCACAACCTTCTGCTGCACTGTTTACTTCTCTGCTAATGAATGAACAGCTAAAAAACAGAATTATCCTAATTGGGGACATTCAAAGGGACATTATCTCCTCTTTGTCCATAGATGCTGCCTGGGTCTGCCAGAGACCACCCTGCAGGTCTCAGAGGATGATCTCTGCATGTTCCTCCCAGTAACACTCAGGTAGTGAGTACAACAGTGTCAGTCATAAAACAGTCACTGAACAGTCTGGGTTGGAAGGCACCTTAGTCCCAGAAAAGTAGAAAGGAACACACATGCAAGTCAAAAAGAAGAACACAGGAGCTTTTTACCTTTCCTACAACAAAATTATTAAAAAGGGTGTGAGAAACATGAAAGAGCTGTGATGCCAGACACAGGACCTGTCTCCAGCAGCACAAGGTCAGATCTCTTACACAAACTGGGCTGGAACTCAGCACATGCTCCAAGTTCCGTGCACGTGGACAGGGCTCTTCATTTATCATGGATATGGCCAGCAGCTGCCTGGAATGCCCTGCTCCCCCTTCATAGCTGTCAGAGCGATCCTATCTCCAGTGACATGAATAAAGATAGAAGATGAAGGACTAAATGAGAAACAAATTACTGTAGCCTCAGTTTTGCCCTCCAAATTGCAGGAATTCAAGGTCTAACTCTGCCACCGTGGAAGGCTGAGTTTTCCTCTCCCTTGCAGTGCTGCAGCTGCTGACAGACACAGAGGAACTGATGCCCAGTGCAGCCCACACCTCAGCTCCTTTTGGATTCGCAGAACCAACGTGCCTCCCTCAAGAGCATGTACAGAGTTAAGCCTTGGGACCATTATTTCAAACACCATAAGGTGTTCAGTAAGTCCCTTTCAACTTCCAATGATAGGGACATTGCACAGTTTCTCCATAAAACACATAATACCCACAGATGGGATTCTAAACAACATGCAGATTACTATGAACTATTTTCAAAATAAGGCCTGTGCACTTTATATACTCTTTTCCTTTGTTGCTACATATGCTTGAGATACTGGAATTTAGTCTAACATTTATATTTCTCCACTTTGATGCACAGTTGAACATACTCAGCTCTGATCTGCTTTCAAAGAGAATCTATTAATTTTTATATCAAGGAGGGCTGATGCTCAACCCCTGAGCTAAACACGGTCCAACAGAACATGAAATTTAACATTTGGCCATTCCCTGATGATTTCTTTTCCTGCTCCCATGGCATAACAGGACAGCAGCTTGTACATGTCTCCATCATGTGAGTGGTGTGTTTGCACTTTTGTGACAACTGGTCACATATGAGGTTTTGTCCCTGCCAATTGTACACAAACAGAGGAACTATCCCTAAAATATGTTCCTGGTCTGGGACATCCACACAACACATTGAGTTGTGTCACCTGCATTTCTCAGGACTTACAAAGATGGGCAGACAGGCTCCAGACCTGTCTGAGACAGGATGCTGAAATCATTCTGGCTGGCAGCATTTCAGATCAGGAGTTAATATTTTATCAGGCTCCTTGATAGCTCGTGACACACAAATCAACACAAAGCTGGTGTTCAGCATATAAAATAGCCTTTCCTTAACTCTCGGTAAGACTATTCCAACAGAACTATTCCAACATTTTCTTATAATCTAATTGTTGCAGGAAAACCAGCAGAAAACCCAAGTATGACATAAAAGTGGGGATGATCTGCTGGGCAGCTTCCCACGAAACCGAAGTTTCCTGCAGGGCCAAGGCACAGACACTGAGCAACAGGTACAGCCCCACAGGTAACTCCATGTCCCATGGGCTGAGCTGTGCAGAACAGCACAGGCAACTCCAGCCAGGGCTCTCCCCCACTGCTTCTTTCCTTGGACTAAGCCATGTCCAGGTGGGAAAGAGATGACAGGGACATAGAACCACACAACATTTACTGGCAGGGAGAACCGTATTTGAGAAACTCTGTGGGAAGGGAAAAAAGGGAACCTGACAACACAATTGAATTTCCTGAGGCTTTGTGCCAGAGTACATATATCTGTGTATGTAAATATATATTTGATTTGTACTTGTGAATTGAAAGCAAAACTTGAAATACTTCTGCACGTAGTTAACTTCAGGATATAGAACTTCAAAGATGAGAGCACACAAAATCACTCTTGACATGGACATCATCAGCGTCATCCAAACAGAAAATTAGCACGTCGCCTTTTTTTTAATCATTTTGGCAGGATGGTATTTCTGATTAATAGAAATTGAATTAAATTTCTCCTTTCATGTATGCAGCAGTTAATTCTAATCAAGCAAGCTCAAGGTCTTCCGTTGCCTGGATAGCACTAATTAGATTCTTCCACATTATTACTTCAACATATGCAACCATACATGGCATACAAATACCCACTTTCTTTTTAACTGATATGAACTTCCTTTTCAAATGTCCACTGCAAATAATTTCCTGGAGTTGGGAACAATATCTGCTCCAAAGAAAACACAGAATCTCAGGAATCCTAGAAAGAAAAGTACCAGGTTTAAAAGAAATGCTTCAAAATTAATTTGCTTAGTACAGAACTCCACCACCATTTAGGTTTCATACAGAAATAAAGTAACACTTCATATCAGACTGTAGTTCTGTTAAGGGGTGTGTGTGTGTGTGTGTGTGTGTGTGTTTATGGCTCCAGATACTATGAAAGCAAACAGTATTAATAAAATAATAACTTATTATTCCTGAGTTCCTGTTAGCCAGGCATGGAATTGTCCTAACCTGAGCTGATGGAAGCTCCAAGTGATGGCACCAGATGCCTCATGACCTCCTGAGCTAATGATTGCTTACTAGAGAGTTGTTCCAGGATCCTCAAGGAACAGCTTAAAAACTGACTTTGTGCAGGAATGACAAATTATTGGAGAAAACATTTGATAGCTCTCCCGAGTGCCAGCCAAGGTTTGAGCTGGGTGCAGGGAATCTATTACGAAACGAGGAGGCAGACCTAGCTGAGTCACTTTAAATCAGGAAATTCAGTTCCTTCCTACTCTCCAGATTTAAAATATCCTACAGCATAAAGCTTCTATAGGACTTTTTTTTTTTTTTAATGTTTAGGGAAGAAACTGAAATACTGCAGTCAAGTCTCTCTAAAGGAGGCACTCATGACTTCCAAGCAGTATAAAATACATCAAACTAATGGAATGAAGAAGGAGAAGAAAATCAAAGGACTTAAAAGGAAGATACCCAGACCACCTCATTTTGTTCTTTGTAGTTAAATGAGGTATTCCACACAAAGACTTAAAAGTCAGGAGGGGGACATGCAAGTATTTCTGCTCTAAGTGGCTTCTTCTTCTCAGTGAGATCATGTACAAACATCACCAAGAGATTTTGGAATAACAGTGCTATGGCCCAGGACTTTAACATGGTGCTTTACAGAGCTGATTGAAAAAAAAAGCTTAAATCCCATGGGAAATAGGACTTTAAAGTAGCAGAACTTCCTAAGAAATTTAAATGTGTTTATTCTGTATAAAGCTGAGAAAAAGCAAAGTTTAAAAAACCCTGTGCAGGAGCTGCAAGTATTAAGTTCTAGTGGGTTTTATTTCTTTGTAGAGACCTTCTCCCATCCTTAGAGGGATATTTTTCCTACTATTAGCCATCCTTGATTAGTTCCATCAAGGAGCTTTCCTCCTTACCATTTTACAGACAATGTAGTTTCTCGTTTCCTGCCAGGTAGTGGGATTCCTTGAAAATCTTCCAACACTTTACACCACAGGCAGTTCAGAAATAAAAGAAGAGGTGGTACAACTGTAATTGAGCCAAAAAAACTCCAACAACATAGCATCATGGCATGTTAGCCTTGAGACAACTAATTAGCTTTTTACTCAAGACAAAAGTCAAATACAGGGCGATGAAGTGCAAGATAGAAATGCAAAACATCTGAAAGCAAAAATGAAAGGCAACCTCACCTTGACAAGGTTTCTGCAAGCAGAAAGAGCTCAGCCAGGCAACTTTAGGAGAGCAGAACTTAATCTGCAAAGTGTATTTGTTCACTTATTAGTTGCTCTAAAAAAAAAACCCAAGAGCTATTTATTTGGTTTACTAACAGCAGATACTCAGAAGTTTCATTTATAAACATTAAGCTGAACCTTGCTTTAGACTACCTCAGGAAAAAAAACTGGAGTCTGTATTGTATATTGTATTGTATATCTATCTTTAGGGAAACATAATTATTTCTGAATTCAGAGGCTGCTCTGGGTTGGAGCAGCAGCTAATATCATAACCAGAATTTCCTTGATCATTACTCAAGCAACAGCATTTTTATTTTAAAAATCATAGTCCTCGTCCCCCCTCCAGTATTTCTCTTCTAACACATTCCATTCTAATTTTAGTCTTTTGAGAAGTTTCTTTTCCAGATCAACCCACTCTTTTTCACATTTAAATAATTTTCAGCTTTTAAAAGAGCTTGGTTTTAGCAGGTGTTTCAGTAGCTAAGCAATAAGAAGTCTCCTGAGAACATCTTCCATGTTTCCCAAATGGATTAGCCTGGAAGTTTGGGGAGAACAGTATTAAGCAAAATAACCATGCCATTAAAGGGTTTTATTCCATTTTTGAAATTAAGACAAAGAAATACACTCCCCAAAAGAAGCATTTATGCTCACTGTTAACAAATGAAGAAACATTTTTTACACCAGTGATACCGTGATGTAACCAACGCAGGAAAACTCAACAGACAAATTTAGAAGCCTAACATGGAAGAAAACAAGGCAACTCCTCCTGTTTTGAATTATTCAGCTTCACTGTGGTCCCAGGACCCAGAATACTAAAAAGTGGGAAAGGCCCCAGCACAGTGTCAAAGCAGCAGAGACATCTCCAGTAAGCTGGGCCTGCAGCCTCACACAGCTAAAACATGGTTATTATCAGGTCTGGGAGCTGAACTAAAGAAAGGTCAAGATATCTCAATACTACCTTCAGGTACCTCCTCAGATAAAAGCTCTTTTCCTCTTTTGGCTCCTGGAAACTAAAAAACCACTGCAGTACATTTCAGAAATGCTTCTTTTTGTGGTCCCAAACAGCAGAAGGAAGCGCACTGACAGCGAGGCCTCTGTGCCTTCACGCAGTTAGAGCAGACCTGGGAGACCCTGGCATCTGGCAGATTCATGAGGCAGGAAATTCTGAAATAAATGTAATGCTAGGCATCATTTACAGATTTACCAGAATAGATGCTCATCTACAGTCACAGAGTTATCTTCCACATTTCCCTAGAGTGCAAGAACATCCTCCCTCTCCAGTGGTAGAAGAGACTAATAAAGAATTGAACCTATCCTGCTTTAACTGTACAGAGCTAATACTTGCAGTAAAAACATAAGTTGGAGTAGAATACATCAGCAGACATATCTTATTCTTCAACATGACATACCATCCCCCATTTGTGCTCCCTTTGCTCCAATAAATTCTTCTAACCACGCAGACTGAAAAAAATAATCCTATTTTAAAGCTGGACTTAATACCCAAAAAGAATTTTCTTACCTGGTGCAAAGATTTCAGGGAAACATTTCTTCAGCAAATGTTATTACCTAGGATTGCTCTAACCTCAATTTTCCACATGTGAGACACATTTAACTATATACCTGAAGCAAACTTGCCTGTTGGCTTGCAGGAATTTTTAACAGTATTTTTTTTTCTCTGAGGCTTTGACTATGTGTTCTCTATCTCCCAAGTTTGCTTCCTTGTCTTCATCCCTTTTAGGATTTCTAAAAGAGAATTAATTATGTTAATTCCCAGCTATGCCAGCTCCACTGTTAGAACAGTTGGGTGAAGAGGGGAAATACTGGAACCTAGAAAAAAGAGAATTCTGATATTTCCATGAAAAAATCCCCAAAATATGTACTTCTAGAAGAAAGGGGTTCTGCATGTAAATGCATTCCCTGTCTGCCTTTCCTGCCTTTGTCCCTGTGGTTTGTCAGTGAAAGGGCATTGGTGAAGGAGCTGGGGAGTATCCTGAAGGACAAGCTTTCCTGCTGTTAAGCTCAGCTGAGCTGGCTCCATCCTTAGGCTGAGCATGAGAAGACATCAGAGCAGCTGGGCACACAAGAACATCCCTTCCCCACCTCTGCCACAGGTTGAAAACAGTGCACGTGCTCATGATTCCGTGCCAGTAATTAAAACCTCTGGTTCTCTCCTCCTCACTAAACCTTCCTTTTCTCAAAAGCACCTTTGTCTAAACATGGGCCAAATAAAGTGTGAATTGAAAAGAGGGCAGGGAAATTAGATCAAACTGAGTGTGCAGCATTCTCATTATCCCTCATGTCAGACAAGTCAGAAGCACTTACGTAATTGGGCCTCCAGCCTCTGGGCAGTGAAGTGTTAAGACAGAAGAGCAATCCCAGGACTGCATGCTGGGTTTTGACAAATAAAAAAACACAGAATTAGGCCAAGAGCTTATCATTAATGTGAGTTTTTAATTGTACCATGTCAAAAACAGGTTCATCATGTGGCACGTGTGGTCAAAGAGGAAAGAAGGCACGGAGTACAAAAAAATGGGGAAGTGAGGGAGGGGGTTTTCTCCGGGCTCGTGCACACACGTGGGTGTGGATCAGAGCAAGAGCACTGGTGAGTGAATGTGCAAGAACCATGTGTGAGGAGCACAGTGCAGAGGAACACAAGGGGAGGCAGTGGCCCATGAGCAATCGCTGTGAAAAGGAATGGGGGGTGGGGATTTGTGCACAGTCCTTTTTTTAGCTTCTGCTGTAAAAAATAAATAGACCTTTTAATCTCGAAGCCTTCTCTATTGACCATTCATTTCTTCTTTCCCTTCCCAGCTCTTTACCTCCTCTATATGGCTGATGAATATGCAAATGCATAATCAGTTCTATAATAGCCCATCCTTTCTAAAAACAGGCCATAAATTTGGATCCTAAGCAGCAGGTTCTAAAAAGCCTATTATACGATATGGCTGGGGGAAGAGGCAAGACCCAAATACCACCGCTCGTTCTTTCTCAGGCGTGTGAAAGCAGCCAGAAGGCGGGTCCTTCCCGGAGCCGAGCTGGCAGCCGGGGAGGGAACACCTTCGGCAGAGCCACCCGCGGATCCCAGCGCGGGCTCCCGGAGGAGGGTTTGGGTTGACTGATGGCAGGGTCGGGAGCCGGGAGCTCTGGGGAAGCCGTGGGCGGCAGGTGGCGCGGCGGGGCCGGGGTGCGGAGCGGAGCCGTGGCCATAGGCGGTCCGGACATACAGGCACACGTCTCCATAGGCGGTCCGCACATCCCTACATCCCTATACAGGCACACGTGTCCATAGGCGGTCCGCACATCCCTACATCCCTATACAGGCACACGTGGCCATAGGCGGTCCGCACATCCCTGTACAGGCACACAGACCCCACCAGGAACACCTGCACTCCAAACCCAGCCCCTGGCAGCTCCAGCTGACACAGAGCTGGTTAAAACACAACCAGTGCTCCTGCCCTGAGCAGGACAGCAGTTTGAGGGTCTGAACATCACAGGGCAGCTGTTTCCCAGCTCCCAAGGAGTGTCCTCTATCCCTATAAACCATGAGCTCAAACTCTTCCATCCAATACTGGCACACACGTCCACGTCTGCCATTTTGAGGCCCTCCTCTGGTTCCTGCCGGGCTTCACAGCGTTCCTGGGTGCTGTCACTGCAGGGTAGGAGGTAAGAACTGTTAGTCCTGGTTTAATGAGATGGGAATGTCCTGCCACACAGGGACAGAGAGCTGCAGGTGCTGTGCCAAGTGCCTCAGTTCATCACTCCAGCTCCTGACCTGCTGTAAAGACTGGAATCCAACAGCAAGTTTTAACAGTTCCCAGTGGAAAACTACCCAGGAACAGACACATATCTGTGAGCTCCAGACTGAACTGACAAGCAAAAAGGCACCAGCTGGAAACCGAGAGCTCCTGCTCAACCCTTGGGCAAGGCAGGAGCAAAAAGGTGAGTTACAACAGTTCTAATGGCAGCCAGGGCATCACCACACCACACATGGGCTGCCCTGGGAGAATCCCTCACCCAGATGGGGCACAGAGATGGGAAGGCAGCAATGATGTATATATAGCTCTCTCAAAACATTTGGATAAAGGGACAGGAACTTGAACCTGGCTCTAATCCCAGCTGTGGCACCCTGACACATCACAACTCTTCATTCACTGTATTCATTTGCAGGTAGTGAATAATATTTGCATAATTCACAGGAGTTATGATTATGATGCCTTACTTCATATGGCAAAACAAATACATACAGGACATGCTATAATCATAGATATGCCCAAATAAACATGAAATAATTTTAAAATATGGCTTTATAGAGACGAATATTTAAAACCAAACCCCTGTAATCTTATAAAATGCTCAAAGTTGGGCAGTCTTTGAATGTGAACATCATAGAACACTTTCCTTCTCCCCTTTCCCATCACCTCCAACACAAATGTACCTCACAAAGCAATACAAACTCTGCCACATCTCAACAGAAACAGGGATGACAGGAGGAAGGAATGTTAGAAACTGATTTTAATAAATCACGTTACAAAACCCTAGGACCAGTGCACAAAGAAGAATGGAGCTCTCATCCAACACTCTGAACTGGGTTCCCCAGACAAAGTCCAAAGCCTCGAGCTGAGCTTTGCTGTGTCACTCAGATTGGACAATTCAGATCCACTCTGGAGCCTTGTTTTCCTTTTTGTGTTTTAACATTCTTCCAAGCCTGTTAACACACCAGCACTGTGTGCCTACCACAAAGTCCTTTTTGCCTGCATCACTGGAAGCACATCATTTACATCCTAGACTCTGATAACACTTCCATAAATATTTGCCTCACCTCAACTAAAAAAACAAAATCAAAACTCAAAATACAGCAAGAGGAAATATTTTGATCACAAAATAAAACATACCAGCAAACCAAGGCCAGGTTCCCATAAAAAAAAATAATTAGAATAGGAAAAAAAACAACAGGTAGATGTACTTATTGGTAATCTCCCTTAAGTGGTGAAAACCTTTGGATCCTGAAACACCACCAAAGCATAGCAAATAAAGTTCTTGACCCCAGGAAACAAACCAACCTCAGCACCCCAAAACTTGCTGTGATCAGCACATCTTAGGCACAGGATCTGGAGATAATTACCAGAAGGGATGCTGGCAGGGTCCATTCAGAGAACATGCATTTGGCACTTCTTCCTGAATTTCAGGAGTCTTTCCTCTGGGAGCAGTCTCTTGTATACAATTGCATGTCCAGCTGCACACCCTGGAGGTTGTGGATCCAAGAGGAACAGCAATACTCTCTGCAGGATACCTTCAGCTGCTTAAATCCTTATTAAAACTCTTCACATATTGTACCAGTTAAATTCAAAACATTACAAGAGAGGAGCTTGACAGTGGCAAAGACACAACACAGTGGTTACAATCCAGAAAACTTACATGTCATCAAACGCAAATCCATGACAAACTCAAGTCTTCACATGAGGCTACATGAAGGCTTTATGAAAATGGAAATGCATGGATGCTTTTTCCTGTAACAAGAATAACTGTTTACTGTTCAGATGATATTCTGTAACTATAGGAGGTAAGTTTGGAAATATGGACTACTACCAATTCTACTAAACTACTAAAACACTCCTGGCAGAACACTTGGCATTCTTCTATTCCCAAGTTTAAAACAGCAGCAGAAGTTACTCTTGTAAATGGCTGTTAAAGCCTCAGTGCATTAGTATGCTGAGACTGCCTCCTGTTCCCTCCTCTGATCCCACAGAGTTAAAGCCAAACCAAAACCCTGTAACATTTCTGGCATTGTTGAACCTTCCCTAGCAATATGCAACAGAATCACATCATATACATTAGTCTTTAAAAGCAAAGCCCTGATTCAAGTAATAAAAAAAGCAATCTTTCCCACTGCTCCCTCTTTGCTTCTTCACCATCTCCTTGCCTTTGTGGTATGGACTGAGGTGATCAGAGGTTTTTAAATTGCTCTGTGTAACTTTTACCCTCCACCCACAGGTCCTTGGCTTCTGTGCTCATTGGTTATTGCACCCTGGGGCTGCAGTAGAGGTGCCTGCCTGCTTCTGCTTCTTGCGGCGCTTGTTCAGGAGGCGGTTGTTGGACGTTTTCAAGTCTTTGATTTTCACCTGATCATAGTCCACCCTCATGGTAGCCAAAGCACTGGTCATCTCCTCCTGAAACCAAGGAAGCAATTTATTGAACCCCCTGAAGCAGTGAGGGCATGGCCACCCCACACTTACTGCCAGGAGATGAATGTAGAGAAGGAACCCTCTGTCACACCACAGCCACGAAGAGCTGAGCCCTTTCTGCTGCACTGGAGGATGACTAAAGGCTTTGTTCTACTCATGGGCTCCTTCAGGAGGAACTATTCACACAGCATGTCACATGTGAGCATGCAGGACCACACTCCCCTGGCCTAAATTCCACCATGTCCTTATGCCCAGCATTCCTCACTGGCTGGCTCTGGGCCTTCACCAGCTTCTCATACCACACTTAGGACACGGCTCTCCAGCTCCACCACCAAACTAGGACAGCAGGGCTGGAATAACGAGCCCACACAAAGATGTTTAGTTTAAAAGTCTGTGCTTCAAATTCACACACCTCCTTAGTTTGAATTAATGCCTAAGTGCAGGCACATTTTAAAATTTTTAATAAGGTTGTGAACAAAAACAGGGGCGGGTATTGATCTCTTCACTCTTGTAACAGGACCTATGGGAATGGCTGGAGCTGTGTCAGGGGAGGGTTAGGTTAGATATCAGGAAAAGGTTTTTTCACCCAGAGGGTGGCCAGGCACTGGAACAGGCTCCCCAGGGCAGTGGTCACAGCACCAAACCTGTCTGAGTTCAAGGAGCATTTGGACAACACTCTCAGGGACAGGGTGGGATTGTTGGGGTGTCTGTGCAGGGCTAAGGGTTGGATTCAATGATCCTCATGGGTCCCTTTCAACTCAGCATATTCTGTGACTCTGTGAAAAATCTCCTAAATAAATGAATGCCTAAGCATTTAGTTCAGGAAAGGAAAAACAAATATTATGGGAGCATCTCTGGGACCTGCAGAATGCACAAGCACAAGAAGTTCTCAGAAACATGGAAAAGAAGAAGGCTCAGTGAAAATATCTGCTTGATCTCTGACTCAGGAGGCAAATGTTGTCTAGGTCTTAAGAAATTTTGCCATTACACAGCTCAACAGCTGAGACTACACATCAGTGATTTAAATAAAATCAGTAATCAATAAAACACACTCCAGGAATGTTGCAATTGTCAAAATGCCACGCATTGTAAGTGCAGAAAATTCAGAATGAATTGTAAAAGCATGCCAACCTGATCAAGGCCAGCAGGAAAGAGTTAAGACTTTTACTCTGCCCTATAGTTTCAGTTTGCAGGAAGCATTCAATTGTCATCAGTACAAATAGTAGGTGAGGCACCTGGTTAGATTAAGGAAAAGACAGACAATATTTTTATTCCCTCTTCTCCACCCCCCCAGATGTCATAACAAGACAAGGCTAAGGTTATTTAATGTTGTTTTACAATGCAGGAACAGAGCAGAAAAGCAGAATGCACCTCAGCCCTCCCATCCTGCCCCCCTATATTTTCATCATATTATTCACTTCACTGTAATGAACTTCAAACCCCCTCAGCACTGTCCCTCTCCTCTGTGGTTCCACGCAGTGGCTCAGCAGGCAGCATCATTAATGCCTTTGATCATAAACACCACCTTTGCTGATATTTGGTGCAGCTGTAAGGCTGCCAGATGAAGCTCATATAGCGTCCATTTTTTTTTTTGAAACAGTTATCATATACACTACTGTTCTAAACAAGAATGTTTATGCTTCCCTTGTTTGACATGATTGTATTCAAAATAGTTTCAGTCTCCAAGGAAATGCACATACACAGAAAAGGCAGCTCATCTAATCTCAGACTTGACTTAAAGAAAACTGAACTAGGATTGACTCACTTTAACTTCATCCCAGTGGTCTTTATCCTCTTGCAGGACCCGGGCAGTATGAAGAGGAGTTGGTGGCACTGACATTGATCTCTGAGAAAAGGGAAAAATACCAAGAGAAGTTCTGAAAAGTAACATTTGGGAAGTGACTGCTTGCTCTTCTATGTGTATGAAGGGCA